ATAAACTCCGGAATTTTCTTAACATCAGTCAACGGTAAACAATCTAAGAGAATCCGAAATCGTATCTTTAAATGACCTATAGCTCGCTCTATTGCCATTCTAGTAGATGATAGACAGTAATTGAAATTTTTCTGTCTATTTGTTAAATGCCCATTGTTTCTATATGGTACCATTAAGTGTGGATGAATACCATATGCAGCATCCCCTATTAGATGGGAATTTTGAGGAAAATATACTTCAGGCATTGTAAGAAAATCTGCTACCGGTGAATTACGAAAAACACGAGCGTCGTGTACAGATCCCACATGTCCAGCAAAACAATGTGTGAAAAATCCACGTGAATCACATATAAGTTGAACGTTCATGGAATGAAACCCTTTTCTATTTACGTATGAAGCAGGATCTTCTTTTGGAGCCCGAATTTTAATGTGAGTCCCGTCGATAGCGCCAATGACATTCGGAAAACCACTTGCTCTTTGAAATTGTTCCATCACTCTTGTAGCAATTTCATGATCTTTTGGCCATAGAATAAGTCGTGGAGCAGCACAATGTAATGCGTATGTTACACGTCGGAGTGCTCTAAACGCAGTTGCTTTTCCAATTCCAAATTTGGTGGAAACAGATCTGAATTAAATATAAATAATGTAATTTTATTATGAAATAATTAATATGTAATTGCATTTTTTATATACGTACCTATAAGAATCAAGCGTAACCATAAACCATATGGCAATAAGTAGTTGTTTCTCTATGGAGATGGGATTTCTTCCACCTACGGCATGTACTGCATTAATGGTTTTTAATCCTGGACCGATTTTCGTAGTACCTCTTCAAATGTTTCAGGAAACATTCTATAAACCCAAATTTTACGAAAAGAATAATATTGCATACAAATAAAAATAAAAGCCTTGTTAACTGAAATATTTCGCCGACGGAGATCGATCGTTTTAAAGAGGGATCCCCGCGGGAAATAAAAGTCTAAAATAAAAGAGGGGGAGCACTACCCGTTCCAGACCAGAAAAACGTATTCGCGTCTATAGGAAAAACCCCGCTAATTGCAATAAATACTGAAGGACATATGTATATGTATAACACTATCATGGAATGAATTAAATGTAAAATGTAAAATAATTAACGCCGAATATCTATGTATGCAAAACTTTCCGATACACCGTGTAAACACAGACCTGATTTGCGAGATCGGAACTTATTTAGA